TAAAAAATCTGTCAATGTGCCTATTAGCCGGCGAAATCAATCAGTAGCAAATATGCCAATAGCGAAATCATTCGACCGGCTAATTCTACTTCTTGATAACTTTATTTGATTATTTTTAAACTTTTTTTTATTTTTATTTTTTTTAAGCCAGTGGTAACGCGCTCGCTTGGGAATCAGAGTGAAGTGGGTTCTCCTGTGTCTCGCACTTCTAATATTTTTATGTGCGAATCATTTGTAACATGATTACCACTTACCTTACGGTAAAAAAAACCTTGTGAGGAAACCTGCATGTCTGAGATAGCAAGTTTTCGTATGACATGTGAAGTCTGCCATCTCGCATTTGGCTAGCATAGTGGATTAAGGCTTAATCCCTCTCGTATTGAAGGGAGCCCACTTATCACTAGCATCGGGGGCTTAAAAAGGGCTGGTTGTATACAATTATATTCGGTTTTTGACGATCTAAACAATAACAGCAGAACAACAATAATAATTTTTAATGAATAATAATGACTTTAAAAATGATAAAAAAGTTATAATTATCATTCTCATTGCTGTATATTTGACATATTTTCTTTAAATTTAAATTGTTATGTACTGGTGTATACTGAAGTAATTTAAAGTAAACTCACTTTGAGTAAGTACGCACCGGCGCGTGCGCAGCAGATGCGATCGCAGGTGGCGTACTGTCACGCATCATAGCAGCCGATATCAACCGATTACTAATCAGAAAACGAACAAAACTGAAAAAAGTATTGGAAGATATAGTTAAAAGGAAAATGTTAAGACGGTTTAATATCTATATTTTAAAGATTAACTAAACACCGATAACTTTCACGAGATTTTAGGTTAAGAATAGTTATTGAAGAATGATTTACTTTGAAGTTATGTTTTAAATTAAGAAATTTATCTGAATAGATGAAACTGGTGTCGAGATCGGTGTTGATCATTAAAAAGATTTTGAAATATATGGGAGCTTAGAAACCTCACTGTTTTGTATATAAAAAAACTTTCGATGTAGGTAACAAAATTCGAATTTATATCATACTAGCGACTCACCCTCGCTCAGCCCGTTAACGTTTAGTATAGATTTCTCAGAGATGAGATATTTTCCCGCAGTAAAAATTATGCTATATGTTGACCCGGATAACCAGCTATCATCATACCAAATTTCATCTAAATCCCTCCAGTGGATTTTCCGTGATGCAGTAACAAAAATTCTAAAAACTATAGATTCGGCCTGTGGTACACACATAATCTATACTTATTATAAAAATAAGTCCCCCGGCCGCGTCTTTCTGTCCTCCTGTCTGTCCTCCTGTCTGTCTGTACGCGATAAACTCGAAAACTACTGAACGGATTTTTATACGGTTTTCAACAATAGAAAGAGTAATTCTTGAGGAAGGTTTAGGTATATAATTTATTATGCTTTTATGTAAATTAGCTGAAATACGGCGACAAATGTTGAAGAGGTCGCAAAAAATCTCGCCAAATGGGAACTTTCCACGCGAACGCCGCGTAAACTAGCAAAGATACAGTTAAGTAATGTACTAGAGAATTCAAAATCTATAAAAATGCTACAAAAAAGTCCGCGATAGCATATCTCTATCTCTTACGGTTGACTTACAATAACCACTTTTATGTTAACATTTTTAATTAAAAACATTACGTTATTTTCAAAGTTATTTTCTTTAGTTCGGTATTAATCCTTATCCAAATGAATATTTTAGTTAGCTTAGTCATTTAATGCAGATTAAAATTGCTCTTTACACTAAATCAATCAGATGAATAGTTTTTGAGATATCGTTGTTAGAAGTAATTAGTAGCGAAACATTTTTAATGCTTGGCGAGCATTGAGATGCCTACGGCGAGTCCATCCCCTCTGCCCCGCATCGCTCGACCGCCTGCTCAAGCTATATAAACCGGGCGATGTAGCGCGCGATCCTAGGATACTTTTTACCGCGGGAAAATATCTTATTTCTGAGGAAAAATACAAAAACTGCAATGTAAGAGTATACTAATATGTAACACCTAAGAATTTAGTTTTTGGTCATCTGAACGCGGGCGGAGCCGCGGGCAATGCTAGTAATGTCTATTTTAATAAGATTTTCCAAAAAATATTTAATGTACAGATTCGACTAAGTTATAATTTTATTATATGTATACATAATTAAAAATTTTCCTTATGACAAATCCTAAATTACAGTTAAGGAAATAAATTATTGTATCAACAATTATTAATCAAAGATAACTCAACTATGTCTTAAATGAATCATCAAAGTATTTGTAACATGACAAATTTTGTGTAGAAATTTACTAACTCTATGTGTTAGTCATTGTGATAACGTTCTTAGAAATATTTTGTAATAATTCAAATTAGACGTTTTATAAATACTCCAAATTCACTAGTTCCGGCTTCCTGTTCGATACGATAAGCTATTTATTAACCGACTTCAAAAAAGGAGGTTGTCATCATAAAAAAAATATGTAAGCCGCTACTTTGTTTCATACTAACATTTGATTTCGTTTTTGTTAGTTAATTTAGTGTACATACATTAAATATTATTTCAAAATTTTGAGTTATTTTTTAAGTCGATTTATTTTAACTTTGGCAATGTTTAATGCAATCATACATGAAAAAAAACCTCATCCTTACAGTATCTATGACTCAGTTGTACATCTAACGTTTTTTAAACCAGAAAACATTTAAAAAGATTCTATTTATATAGTATTAAAACTTTTAACGTCATATTAAATAAATGATTATATGTTAATTTGAGCACTTTTAAGAACTTAAATAGGTTTCATTGAATCAGAATAAAGAAATTGGTACATAATCAATTAAAAAAGTTCTAATAAACGATACCCTTTCTATTGAAAATCAAAATAATTCAATCCATGTCCTTTATAAAGTCATGCAGATAATAATTGCCAATTTAGAATCTGTAATAGCTTTAGAGATTGATCATTTTTGCGGACGAAATTTCTCCGAATATCAAACTTGATTGTAACTAAACAAATTTACCGATAAATTGACTTAAATGTAATTATCAGTCAGTTAATTAGATCTCCGTCATAGCCCACTAGTTAGTAGTTATCTGTTATGTTTAAAATACTGAAAAATTGCATTTATTCGAGCTTTTTCATCAGGGGAATTAGATTATTGATATCTATATACATTATATATATATATATATATATATATATATATATATATATATATATATATAATATGTATATATATGCATGTGTAGGATATCTCTGAGAAAGATAACGTCAAGATTTTATCGATAATTCTAAAATTTCCTATATCGCAAAAACTGTTTAACTATTCTACACATGTGCTACCTCTGATTCTACGTATATTACTTTTCATAATTTATCTGTAGACCAACTCTCAGTTCTATAGCTACAATAATTTCCTATTAAAATAACTGTGACATACGGACAGACGAATTTTACATAAACATGAAATTTTAAGGGTTCTGTCTTTACAGAAAATTTCTTTTGGCTACGGAACCCTAAAATTGTACTGATTAACACTTCTCTCTACTTTTATATATTTAATGAAATGCTAAAATGAACGATAAAATAATTAAATTAGTTTTCCACAAAACATTAACCCCATACAGTTATAGATATATTACAAAATATGATGGGGAAAGAAAGCGGACATGCATATTGCAATTTAGATGCGGAAATGCGATACTAAGTTAAATTATGCTTGACGACTTTCAGTTCAGATGTAATTTTATTTATCACAATAACATTTTGATATTAGATAGCAATTGTTGATCGCTATTGCGATTACTGTTGTATGGATGTAATGACTATTAATTACGATTACTATTACTTATATGTGTCATCTATAGTAACGGTTATAGGTTTGTACGTTTGTTCGATTTATCTATGATTAACCAACTTCAAAAGCAAGAAGGTGCTCAATAGAGTGGTTTTTAGTATGTATGCTATATATTAATTTCAAATTCACCTATAAATATAGAAAAAATCATAAATATCACTTTTAAAATATAAAGTCGGTGTACTTTGTAGTTAAAAATAATTTTAGTATAATAATTTATATTCGAATATAACAATTTTATCACATATATAATAATGAAATTTGTAACAGGGTCAATATTGCAGATTGAATAACCCCTTACATAGACAAAATAGTAATATGTTAAAACAGTACGTCTTTATTTAATCTAATATATAAAATTTCCATGTCACAATGTTAGTTACCGTACCTACTCCTCCGAAACGGCTTTACCGATTTTTACCAAATTTTATATGCGTATTCAGTAGGTCTGAGAATCGGCTACTATCTATTTTCCATACCCCTAAGTGATAAGGATAAGGGTGGTCCTCCCAGACCCCACCCCAGGGACGAACCCGAGCGGAGCGAGGGTGAGTCGCTAGTATATGTATATTATAGGGTAGCTATATTATAAAGCTGCTTGCGGCTTCTCCTCAAATATGTCATATGACTATAGTTTGTATGAAAGCGCGCACAATGATCTCAACTAGTATCTTCACAATATATTTACAAGGAAACTTAATTTATAATTTTAATTTTAATTATATATGCACGTAAGTAACAAAAAGTATTCAAACGCACCCAGCCATTGTCGAGTTATGATCGCTTATACACACCGACAAACAACAGATAAAAATTAACATGAAACACACTTGAGTTTTTGTAGATATCAAAAGCACAGTATCTTTTAATTAATATTTTTCATTCCTTTTGATTTAAAACAAATATAATTTAAACTAATTTGGTTCAGCCATTTTATAATTTTTTACTTTATATATAACACTAATTTTACTCGTGAGTTCGCACATTATACACATATACTGATATATTGTATGTATATTTAATAAATAGTATAAGTACTATATAAGCAGTCTCCATTTTTCATTTTGAAATTTTCCATTCTGAATTTTAATTGTCATACAAACTTTCGTATTACAATAATATTTATATTTTTTTGTTACAGTTTCAACTGTACCATTTATCAACCATGGGAGTATCTGATACCGGTTCCTCCATCACGTCAGACTTGTCACCCCACGACCCTGATCGTCCAGGATCTGGTAGTGGTATAGACGACGAAGACATCCCCAGGCGGAAACAAAGACGGTATAGAACGACATTCACGAGCTACCAACTCGACGAACTTGAGAAAGCCTTTGGGAGAACACACTATCCTGACGTTTTTACCAGGTACAATTTTGTTTTATTACTCCAATAATAATTTATCTACTATGACTAGTATAAATCACGAAATTTTAGAAACTTTAAATGCCTCTTTAGCAGATAGACTTCTCATAGGGCGTATTCGTTAAGATAGTATTTTTGGATATCCAACTTCTAAAACGTTTAAATGTGGGTTCGAAGTTTGCTTTATACAAAGTCCGTTATTTTGAAACTAAGCGAATAGAGCCGAAGGCAAATGTTAGTTTATTTATATTTGTATGGCTATTAGTAATATTGGTAAGAATAAACAAATAAATGTTTTTCTTTTGTTTTAGAGAAGAGCTGGCATTAAAAATTGGTCTTACGGAAGCGAGAATACAAGTAAGCATCATTTGTTATTTATTGCATTATTTACAACTTCTCATGACAGTGGTCGAGACATGTTCTTATAGAATATTATATGACTACATATTATATCTCGCGGCTCCACTTGCATTGTACGTCGATAAAAAATATTATAAGCTATCTAAATTTCAAATTATACTCAAATCCGATACAGTGTAAATGAAGTAACACAAACACACATACAAAGATTCAACGTTATTATTACTAGTGAGATATCGCTACCACTGTGATGTGCTATATGCCTCTTTATTTGATAACAATGATGAAATGAAAAAATAATAAATTTATAATTTTCGTTGGTTATCTTTCGTAAATTAAAATAAATTATTAGACAAAGAAATGTTCTGGTTGGTCTGTTTTATCTTTGACATTTTCGGTTTTAATTAAAATTCGCTACGGTGTAAAGACGGCCATCATAATAAAAACAAAGAATGCAAGATTGCGACAGAAGATAAACAAAATATGCTTACAATAAGTGCTAAATATAATTTACTAACTTAATTATGAAGAAACAGTTCGGCACCGTTTGACATCCGCATCTGTTGTCCAATGTTCTTCCAACGTAATGAGCTAACTACAAAAACCTATAATACCACGTTCATACGTGACAACATGTATTAAGGCCTTCATGGAGCAATTAAGCCCATTATAGAAGCTGTAAAAACTAATCTTATCCCTTTGATTCATCCGACGCGGATCTTATCCATCGTTATTATTGTTAATAATTCTGCAAGAAATAATACGCTTCATGATTCAGAATTTTTATTTCTTGGATTGCTTCGTTAGTTAAATAAAAAGCATATTTAATAGCGCCTACAAATTGTTCTTAAATGTGTATTATATACATATCTATATTATAAATGTGAAAGTAATGTTTGTCTGTTACCTTTTTATTTTTAAACGGCTAAACATATTTTGATAAAATAAATCAAAGGTTATAGATTTCATCCTGGGTTCGGTCATAGGCACCCTTGATAACCGCTCCGCTTATCACTTACATTTGATTATAATTTTAATTAAAATTTTAAAGAATTAAATTATAATTAACGTCTCATACCTTCTAAAAAAGTCTAAAAGAAAATATCTCAAGAGGAGTCACAGAAATAGTCTAGTATTATATGAAGTTATTAAGTAAAGAAAAACGTATAGTTAATGTGAAATTAATTTGAAATAAATAACCTTTATGACGTTAAGTAATATAAAGAAATCCAATCATATGTAAATTCTAATATGACATCACAAAACGATTACCAGTCCAAAGACTGATGCAGGCTTTTTTGACCGACATCAAAAAAGGAGGAGAAGGTACTAGATTTTTAGTGTTGTCGATGGTGAACAGATTTTTATGTGTTTTTTGAATAATTATTACGTCAAGAATCACATATAAATGACATTAACATTCAAGAAAAGCTCCACTTTTAGGGTGAATAAAAGCTTTTAAACAGCTTTTGATGTTAACGTGAAAAAAATCTAATAGGTAGGAATACCTAAATAAAAAAAAACACAACTTCTGTTAAATTACTGATATAGTTATAACGGTACTCTTTGATCAAGCAGTAAAAAAAAATTAAGCTTTATAAAGTTGCATAGATATGAAATTATTTAAAGTTAAATAATTAACTTTTAATCATTAAAAAGCGGAATACTTATAAATTAAGTGGATATTTTCTTAATAAGCGTAATTTTTTATACATACGAATGTACAAATTAGCTACAATTATGATGAAATATAAAATAAAACTTAATATAGGTACAATGCTTAGTAAAAAATACCAGACCGCAAATTTATGATAGAGATATTTCTTTTTTTTTTTATATAGGGAATTGAAAACTGCCATAGTATTAAAGGCCACAAGAACAATACATCCTTAACTAAGATAAATAAATAATAAATAATAAAAATGTCGGGGCATTAAGACACAGCGCCATCTAGTTCCATGATAAGCTACGAGGCTTGTGTTATGGATACCAGATAGTTGATACACTACACATATATAACTTTAAATACATACATATTATAAATATAAACACCCATGACTGGAGTACAAACATTCGTGCTCATCATCCAAATGAATGCCCCCAGCGGGACACGAACCCGCGACCGCTGGCACAGCAAGTACACTACAAACTGAGCCAAACATGTCGTCAAGGACGGACGGAAAAACTAAAATATTATTTGATTATAGGTAATGAATCCATGAGTCAGATTTAATTTTACAAATACATTTGTAAAGTATGTATATAATTTAATACAGCGCATTGATTACGTGTCGCCATAATTATATGTTGTTTCCTTTATTTGCTGGGTTTTTATTATTTACGTCAAGTCCAATAGATAATGAAAATAATAAAAAGTGCATGTCATTATGTATATTGTTATTAAATATTAATTAAGTTCCTGCGATAGATTGTATTATTCCTTACTAATTTATGAATGCCAAACAAAATTTGTTTAGTTCTTTACTCTTACTGTTTTAGTTTAACAAAATTAGCCGTTGATGCTTTTTATGTTGGAGGAAGTGAATTTGATTACCGCTAGAAGCAAATATTATCCAATCCAAGATGGATAGTTAATATTTGACTCCTTTGGCTATAATAGTTGGGTGCTTAATATTGGACTATATCTCCGTGACATAATCTACGAGTATATATCCCACAACACGTTCACCAACACAGACAAACATTTTAATGTCAATTTAATCAATATTTAGAAAATTCTAAACGCTGACCTTAGGCGTATTAACAGATATTACTATGTTCCGGAAAGTTTGAATTGAAATTAAAAACAATACATAAATAATATTCTGCAAACCGATTCTGGCCACGGCGGCAGATATTATAGTGCACAAGTGTACGCGCAGACACAAGTGCACTCTCTCTATTTCTGTCACTCTCATACTCCGATGCGATGATTACTCGACGCGACCGATGAGAGTTAAGGCGCAGGACCGACGGCTTTACGTGTTTTCCGAGGCACGGGGGTGAAACACCGACAACTTCCCAACTGCGGGCTATTACTGAAGCTTACTAAACAGAAAAGATTCAATAACTAACCTTGGCCCGATCCGGGATTCGGACCCAGGACCTCCGGATGTGCTGCCGTACATGCTAATAATTACACTACCATGGCAGCAATAGCAGTATGATAGTTAAAAGTTTAAAAAAATTGATAGCTTTGGTTCGGTTCGTTTAATGATAGCGCTTTCCTGGAATTCTTCTACAAAGTTATAAGTAATATTTCCCATGAGAGCTTACATTATGTGTTTTGTCTAATCTCACTTCTTTCAACGTCTTTATAGTTATATAACATTCTAACTGTGTAATACATATAAAGTGTTATCTAGGCAAAGAAATAATAGAGTCGTTAGGTATATCTTATGGCTATTTAGTTTCTACTTGTCGCGTTTCTTGTGTTATCAACCAGGCGACTAAGACCCCATGTCATATGTGGGCCTACCAAGTAATGAGAGGTCAAGAATTAACGGTGAACATAATCAATAAAAAATATAATTAAAATATAATTTAGACAGTGAAATGTCAATCAAATCGGACAGACAGACATACATAAAAACTATTGTTTTAATATTAATGCCATACCTGCTCGCAACCAGAATGCTAGTTGATTTTTATAGTAACTTTTAACGTTAACTAAATCGGTGTTTTCGTTTTATTACATGTAACAAATAAATATTAACTTGGTAATATAAAGTTAGCAGCATTCAATTTTAGAGGCTTGTTTAACATCTTCAGTAAAACTCGATTGGAAATTTAATAGTTATCGTTGAGTTATGGGCAATATTAGCTTTAGCTTTCTATATTAAAATATCTTTACATTGTACATAAAATATAATGAATATTCTCGTAAATTGTGTAAACATATCTTACGAATCTTAAATACGTAATATATCGGTTAGTTTAAAATGTAATTTCACGGTATTTCCGGGATCATGAACGAATAGGAACGCGATTCAATTAGGTGACGAATTTTGCTATTGCTTGTAACTTTACTTCATAACTTATACCCCTATTTCAATTTCATTTAACACCTTTGAGTTAGTACAACATTAAATAGAGAAGGCGCTTTGAGATTCTTCCAAATTTTTAAATTTTATGGCTAATTTTACCCATTTTTTCCATAAAAAGCTTATTCGTACTATTATGAACTGTAAAAAAAATACCAAATCGATTCAGCCGCTCTCAAGCGATAAGTATCTAAGATTAAGCGACGGACAGCATTTCTACACTACTAGTATTATATATTCTAGCGGCTTACCCTTGCTTCACTCGGGTGCGATCATAAGTACGTTTTATTTAGACAAAAATAGTTATCGTGAGCATCCCTTAGGAGAGACATACATGTTATGGCAGACCTAAGCATATTGTTTTGATATATTTTTAAGGGCTCAGCATTAGCCATGCAATTATACAGAAACGGTTTTTTGAGAAAACACCATCTAGGCTCCATTCATTTTGTACAAAATATTTACAAATTATATACAATAAACTTTCTCGTTTATCGCTCTTTCTTTTAGTGAAAACCGTATCAAAATCCGTTGCGTGGTTTAGAAGTAAGCGGAGAAACAGACAGACGCAGACAGCAACTATGTATAGATTTCCTAACATATACTTAATACTACTATTGAGATCATAAATTGCTACAAACACAATTTATGTATATATGTACGTATTAAATGTTACAAATAGTC